GTTAAACAGGAAAGATATTTAGAAGGAATTTTAAAACGTTATAACTTAGAGAATTGTAATCCATGCTTAACGCCCATAGAAAGTAGTTTGAAAGTATGTTCAAGTAAGGAAGAACAACAAACTAAGCCAGTTAAAGAATTAATAGGGTGTCTGATGTATTTAATGTTGGGTAGACGCCCAGATATAAGTTTTGCAACTAATTACTTTAGTCGTTTTCAGGATAGAAATTCAAACGAGTTATGGACACATTTAAAAAGATTATTGAGATATTTAAAAGGTACAAAAGAAATAGGATTATGGTATGTGAGAAGTACAGATGCACTACCATTAGTATGTTACGTTGACGCTGACTGGGCACACGATACGCGAGATCGAAAGTCTATTTCAGGATATTTAATGCAAGTATACGGTAATACAGTGTTGTGGGTAACGAGAAAACAAAATTGCGTTGCATTGTCTAGTACTGAGGCAGAGCTCGTGGCAGTATGTGCGGCAGTGCAGGATGGACTATGGTATAAAAAACTGTTAAAAGACTTAAAAGTTGAGATAAAAGACTTTAAAATATTTGAGGATAATCAATCTTGCATAGCATTAATAAGGAATCCTGAGAACAATAAACGAGTGAAACATATTGATCTGAAATATAAGTTTGTGTGCGAAAGTTTAAAGAAAAAGGAAGTCGTGATCGAATACATCAATACGAGATTTCAGTTAGCAGATACGTTAACCAAAGTGTTGAGCCGTGCAAAATTTTATTCTAATTTCAAAAGTATAGGCTTAACACAGAGAGAGAGTAGTAATTAAGGAAGCGTTGTGATTATAGTTATAAGTTTTGTTTTGTATTAGGGTATAAGTTTGGTTTAAATATTCAAGTAAGGTAAAGGGGCAAAGCATTAAGAGAGAGTATTGTGGTAATGCTTTATTCCCTATAAGCGTCGTTTCCGTTTTGCGTTTTTCCGTTATGATAGATCTTCTTATGTTAGATACAAGCATGGTGGGTTCACGTGCAAGTGCGTTGCTAGTTAATATTCGTTGCAAATTATTAAGTACAAAATGTTAATTTCTTTTTCTTATTATCATCATCTAACAAATATTCTTTATGTTTAATTATCGTTCATTTAGTGCGTCTGTTTACGCGTTTGTAACATCCCGCAAGAAGAGGAATAACTGCAATAGAATTAATAAGAAAAAATGTATTATTATTTATGTAAATATTTATTTTTCTTTTTTATTATAATTAATTTTCCATAATTTTGTAACAATTTATTTATTTATTTTTGTATTTTTGTGATTAACTATAATAATAATTAACTTCGTATTTAATAACAAAAAATTATTGTATTTATTAATATTTATGATTAACAAAAGAATCTACTTACTAAAATAGATCGATAAATTGTCGCGTCGATAACACTACCGCGTCGATAAAAGATCGACTTAGAGCACGCGTTAATAGAAAGAGATAGCAACAGCGCGTAGAAAGAGACAGCAACAGCGTTAATAGAAAGAGATAGCAACAGCGCGTAGAAAGAGATAGCAACAGCGTTAGTAGAAAGAGATAGCAACTGCGCGTGGAGAGAGATAGCGATACGCGCGGAGTCACGTATACATAGGTCAAAGTCCAAATACTTCCGGTAGTAAAAGTACATGTAGAAAAAACTGCTACGTCAGCAGTTTTCAGGTATAAATACGGGCGTGCCGAGCACAGCGAGCTTACTTCAATTCTGATCGTAGTCCGACACGAATCTATGATACGATTATCGCATAGAATTCAGTAGCGTAGATTCTTTTGTCGGCAAAGCGGCAAAGGTTCCATGACGGATCCGGAGCGCTCAACTACCGGTTCGCAGCGGTTCTCACACGTGTCTGGTTCGCAACCAAGCTTAACGAGCGAGCGAAAGTGGCAGCTCCTTGGATGCAGCCTATTAAGTACACTGGCTCTAGAGTGACAACACCGTCCTGCAGTGTTCGCTACCAAGTTTAAAGAGCGAGCGTAAGCAGAAGCTCCTTGGATGCGGCCTATCAGCTACGGCTAAGTTACCTAGAAATCGTTCTGCGGCCGATCGAGTTACCTCCTACAGTGTCAGGACGGATCCTAGCCAATTTTCCGACAATCGATCATCTTATTTAAATTATATTATTTTATAAATTCACATTATAGATTTAAAGTTTTGATAATCGGATCTAGAGCCGTGTTTATTAATTAATTATTTTTCTTTGTATTTTCATTTAGGACGAATTACTTTGTAATTAATAATTTGATTTTCTTTTATTATATTCCATTCTAGCTCAAACGCGATTGTTATTTTCTTTGTATTTTTTTATCCAGGGCGTACTCCATTGTACTCTACTAATATAATTATTTTCTTTTTGTATTTCTAACACAAAGCGTAAACTTTTATACATCAATTACTCAATTATCATATTCATCATATTATTATATTATTTAATTCATTATCTTTTATACTACTTACCTTTTTATATAATTCAACCAATTACTATTTTTGAGAAAGGAATTAACGTTGGATTTCACTCCTTTACCGCGTGCCACCCGAACCTACAATCCCTTCTTTATAAAACTACGAGTCGCCTTCTTATAGGGAACCGCTCTCCCTACGCGTCGGTGCAGTAGCGTACTCGTGATATTCCGGGACGTTACACGTTGGTGGCTGTGTGAGCGACAAGGACAGCTTATTTTGAATTTCAGCTGACGACTAAATCTAGGTCAGCCGGGACAAGCTCTAGTTAAGAGTCGGTCGTTTCCTTGTCTCGAGGTTAAGAATATACTTTTGTTTCTTTTTCTTAATGTAAAACCGTTAAATATAATCTTGATATTTTTTTCACAAATATCTGGCATCAGATACGTTTCCCTGCATTTTTTCCGCTGCCCTATCCATCAGGTTATGGACCCAGAGGTTTGAGGAGTGGAGAAACGCTTGTTTACGCGTCGGTTAAGTTAAAAGTTAGTGGTTAGTGTTCAAAATTAATGTATCCAAGGATCGGGTGTTCGTTCGAGATGACTGCGAGTTTGTCAACCAGCACTATGCGTTTGGAGCTGTTGTCCAAAGACAACTACGATACGTGGTGCATGCAGGTTGAAGCAGCGCTAGGAAAGAATGACCTGTGGGGATACGTTTGCGGCAAGGTCGTAAAGCGGGAGGACGTGCGGAGAGAAGCTTGGGAGACTCAGGGTCAGAAAGTCAGCGCTAACCTGATCCTGTCGATCCAACCCTTGGAACTTAAGCAAGTTTGGGGAAGCAAGGCGTCACAAGACGTCTGGTTAAAGTTGGAGTCGATATACGCGTCGAAAGGGCCGGCTAGGAAAGCGACGCTTATGAAGGGGCTGATGCTTCAAAAGATGGAGGATGGTGGCGATATCAAGACACATATGATGATAACGATTGGTTGGTAATATTGCTGTTGTATAGCCTCCCTTCGACCTTTGGGAATTTCCAATGTGCCATCTAGAGTCGGGATAATTTGCCTGATTTCGAATCGCTGAAAGTAAAAATCCTCGAAGAATATGAAGCACGCCAAAGATTGTCAGAAGCTGTCGTCACGGCCATGGTAGCTGAAAACAATGGGAAATTGCGCGAAGATCGGGTCTAAGCAAGGAAAAGATCGTGAAAAGAAACGCAAGAGTTTTAGGTGTTCCAAGTGCGGTGTTTTTGGTCATAAGGCGAGTGATTATTCCGCGAAGACAACTGGAGACAGTAAAAACAAATCCAAGCAAGTGGCAAACAAAGTCGATGAGTCGTATGCAGTGAGCCATATGGTCACGGAAGTAAACAAAGTGTGTTGTGCTACGACGTCACCGAACAAAGCGTGGTTATTAGACAGCGGTTGTACTGCTCACTTGTGTGGTAGTGAAAAAAAACAATTTTTCTCTCTTAATGAATGTTCGAAGATTAGGCTAAACCTAGCGAGTGACACATCTGCTGATGTGAAAGGCAAGGGTACTGTTCACTTGTCGGTGTTGAGTGACAGTGGTTCTCGAACGATCGAGTTTCGTGACACCTTGTATGTGCCAGATTTGCGAACCAATCTAGTGTCAGTGGCGAACATTACGGATAAAGGCCATGAAGTAACGTTTCGTTGAGATGATGCATATGTGCGCAACCCGCAAGGGAAAGGGTTCGTAATTGCTGAGCGCAGAGGTGAATTGTACTACGTCCGAGAGAATGTCGAATGCGCGGTTGTGCAACTTAAGTGATCCGAACTGTTAAAATAGTACGAAAGGTTGGGTCATTTGAACGGTAAGGACATGGCAAGATTAATTCAAAGTGGAGTGTTGAATCTTCGTGGCGAGATACCAGATATTGAACAGTTGGCAAATTGTGACATTTGTTCGAAGGGAAAAATAACCGCTTTCCCTTTTCCAAAAGGTCGAGTGCCTTGTTCTCAAATTTTAGGAATAGTTCACTCCGACGTTGTTGGTCATTTAGAACGGAATCTCTGGGACGAGCATGATACTTTGTCACTTTCGTCGACGATAGTACGAGATGGTGTCAAGTATACTTTTTGAGGCAGAAAAATGGTGTGTTTGAAGCCGTTAAGATGGACCAGAAGATGGTTAAGAAACAAACGGGCTAGAGTATGAAACATCTGCAGTCAGTCAGTGGCAGAGAGTACTGCAACGCCAAGTTTGACGAATATATAGCTAGTCAAGGCATTAAGCGCCGGTTGACCGTTCTTCACACTCCTGAGCAGAACCGAGTGGCTGAGCGGATAAACCGCACGCTACTGGATATGACCAGGTGTTTGCTATTTCAAGCTGGATTGACAGCATCTTTCTGGGCTTAAGCTGTTGCGACGGCGTGCTATACTCGCAACAGATGTCACACGAATAGTTTGAATGGTGGAATTCCATTCGAAAAATGGACTGGAAGTGGGGTCAAGGTTGATCATTTGAGGGCATTCGGGTCAAGGGTGCTTGTTCTGGATAAGAACCCTAGCAAGGACAAACTTGCGCCGAGATCAGTGAACGGCGTGTTTGTTGAATGAATGAGTGTAATTCTCTTGTGACTCCGTCGGATGTGAATGTGCGCTTGGATGATGCGAGTAATGATGAAGAGGGCGTAGACTGTCCTTACAGTAAGTTGACCGGTTCCCTTATGTATCTAACTGTAGCGACGCGTCCGGACATCGCGAACACTGTCTCATGGTTAGCGCAATTTACAAGCAAACCAGGTAAACGTCATTGGTTGGCAGCAAAGACAGTCTTGAGCTATCTGGGTGGAACTGCCAATATTGGATTGTTGTTCAAAAGGACTGGTAAGCCTCTATTCGGAAATATCGATGCTGATTGGGGTGGGAGCACAGTGGACCCTCGGTCGTATACAGGATACATGTTTTTGCTAAGCGGTGCTGCTATCACATGGAAATCGCAAAAACAGAAGACGGTTGCCTTATCATCCACGGAGGTGGAATATGTGAGTTTGGCGGAGGGTGCTAAGCAAGCATTCTAGTTGCGAAGTATTTTGCACGAACTAAACCTGTGTAACTGCAGCGAAGTCACGGTTTATATTGACAATCGAGGCACGCAGTGTTTGGGCAATAATCCAACTTTTCACGCGAGAACCAAGCACATCGACATTAGGTATCACTTCGTTCGCCAGGCGATAAGTGCTGGGAAATTGAAGTTGGAACATGTTCCTACAGAAAACATGGTGGCTGATATCTTAATGAAGCCATTGGCGAGGAGTAGCCACGAAAGATGTCTTGCTGGACTCGGATTCGTTTAATAAAGGGGTCAGTGATTAACATGCGGCTTGAGAGGGCGTGTTAGAATCGACCGTTTATCATTATAATCCGCATGTTTGTGCTGTGCGTCTGTTTACGCGTTGGTGCCTGTGTGAGCGACAAGGAGAGCTTATTTGGAATTTCAGCTGACGACTAAATCTAGGTCAGTCGATACAAGCTCTAGTTAAGAGTCGGTCGTTTCCTTGTCATGAGGTTAAGAATATACTTTTGTTTCTTTTTCGTAATGTAAAACCGTTAAATATAATCTTGATATTTTTCTCACAAATATCTGGCTTCAGATACGTTTCCCTGAATTTATTCTATTGCCCTATCCATCAATAACGATACTGTTATTAAATGTATACTGATCTGTGGGAATGAATGAGGATATTACATTATGTCTAATGTAGATATGGTAATAATGATATTGTTATTAAATGTATATTACATATCTAATGCAGATATGCCAATAATGATATTGCTATTAAATGTGTAATACATATCTAATGTAGATATAGCAAAAATGATGTTGTTATTAAAGGTATATAACATATCTAATCTAGATACATTAATAACGATATTGTTATTAAATGTATAATACATTATATCTAATGTAGATATAATAATAATGATATTGTTGTATGCTTTATTGACACTTCCCTTTCGGGATTGCGTGGCGCTTTTGAAAGGAGCGTTCCCCAACCTTACACTGTTTTACATGGTCCTTATATTTCTATGTCTTTTTCCCTATTCCCTTACTTTGTCCTTACTTAATACAATTCTAACATAAAATAATATAACCTAAACCCTGCGTAGTCGTGTCCCTAAACTAAATTGAATATGAGTGCGAGTATCTTGAATATAGTTAAACAATAATTGTGCCATACTAATCCAATAATAGTGACATTAATATTCTATATAATATAAACCAAAAAATATCAAAAATATAAAATGTAACATAAAATACCATACGATAAATACAAGTATAGAAAATAAAAGTATTAATGTAATGCTAAAACAATAGATTCGCTTAGATTAATCTTGTATGTAATACCAAAAAAGAAAAAAAGAACAAAAAACAATTAGACCCCTCCCTTACCTACCCCTGCCTATCCCATACTTCTTTCTTTCCCCTATTCCTTTTACTCCTTATTCAGTCCTCTGTATATATTTAATACTCCATCTTTCTCACACTTTTGATCCACTAGCTCGCACTAAAGTAAGTTAGCTATACTACTATAACTGATTTCTCTTTATTCAAATACAATTCTCAGAATCAAAGATCCTCCGTGATCACTTCGCACCTTTTTCTATACGCGGTTGCTCCATCGGAAGGTATCGCTTCGGCAAGGTCGCGCACCGGCAAAAACTTTCTGCCGAATCCGTTCTCTAACCCCTTTCCCGGTTAAGGGGCGAAACGATCAAACAACTATAATAACCGCAATTAACTTGCCACAGCCTATCATTTGTACTGCTCTAGTCTTACGTAAACTCGCTTCCCCTATCTAATCAGTCTCTACTGACACTTTAACTCTATTGCACTCCCTAACGACCCTGTCCCTTACCCCCTGTGCTCCCTTCCCCCTCCCATACTTCTTTTTTCTTATGTTCCTTCTCCTTTCCTTTTTCCTCTTCTTTCCTGCTTCTTCCGGTCCTCTTCTCTTGTCTTCGTTACCTTCTTCTTTATTTCCTATCCATCTGTCTGCTGGATTCCCATTTTTCTGCCCTCTCGTTCCATTTCCATTCTTCTCCTTCTATCCATATTCTTCTATTATTAAATTCCACCCAGTTCCCCTTTCTTCTTTCTTCTCTCGCCTTCTCTTTTATCCTCCACTTCATCCTTCTCTCTTCTTTTGACAGATCCTCGTCAACCGCGACCCTCCATCTGTCCCAAATCCCATTTTTTGTCCACACCATTTCCTTTTTGCGGTCTTCCTCTTCCAATTCTGTCAATACTATATTTCTCCCCCCTTCTCCCACCCTTTCTGTTGCTCTTTTTATTCCTACCTCTTGTCCCAGTTCTTTTTCTAGAATCTTTTTAATATAACTCAATCTTTCTTCTAAGTTCTTTCCCTCTACCCCCTTCCAAATCAATCTCTTTTTTCTCCTTTCCTTTCTGATTTCTTCCATTCTTTCCTCCCATATCTTTTCCCACTCTTCTTCTTTTCTCCTTGTCCCTTCTGTTTCCATTCTTCTCCTCCACTCTTTTTGTCCTTCCAGCTCGTCAACATCTCCCTCTGATCTTCTTCTCCATTTCTCCTTCGCTTCTTCTATTGTTTCTCTTCCATTCTTCTCTTCTTCTCCCTCTCCGTCACTATTTCTTTCCTTCTCTATTTCTTGCACTTCTATCTCCTCCTCTTTGCTAACTTCTTCCCTCTCTCTTTTTACTGCACTTTCATTCCCCTCATTCTGGTTTTCCCACCCTCCTCCTTCTGCTTCATTTTCTTCTTCTTTCTTGCAATCTTCTTCCCCCAGTCCTCTTCTCCTCTTCTCTATTTCTTCTACGCTCTCTTGCTTTTCCTTCCATTCTCTTTTTGTTCCTCTTTCCAACCTCCATTCTTTTATTTCTTCTCTCAGGCCACTTACTTCTTCTCTAATTCCTCTCAGCTCCCTCAGCACTTCCTCTTGACTCTCCATATCTTTATCCTTTCTTCGCTTCAGTGACTCCCCTTCCCTCCTTACTAGCCTTGTTTTGCTTTTAACTTTTCTCTTTTCTAAACTTTTCCTTCCTTTCCCCTTTGTACAACTTCGCCAAGATCCTTGAATGTTCTTTGCCCTTGCTTTATATTCAACACATGTTTCTTCTCGTACCACGCACTTTTCCCATCTTGCCAACCTATCTTTTCTTGTGTTGCCACTACACCTTTTCTTACACCACTTGGTTTTCCAGTGGTGCCAACCTTGTCTTTTCCGCTTCTTATATTTCTACTACTTACTATGCCCCTCTCTTCCCCTTCCCTTTCTTCCTCTTCCCTTGCTTGCTCTTATCGTGAACTTTCTTACCGATCTTCCTTCCTTCACTGTCTGTCTCTATCTTCTTTTCTTTTCTTTCCTACGTCATCTGTTGTTCCTTTTCTGCCTTCTTTCTTGGTATCATTAGCCGTTATACTTCTCGCCGTTTCTCACTCCGCGTCTCTTCTCCTTCCCCTGTTCCCGTCCTGTGTTTCTCTAGCTGTTTCATCCATTCTTCTCCTTCCCCACTTCCTCCCAGCAGCTCTCTCACTCTCTCTTGCCATCCTTCTTTTCTTTCTTCTCCTCCGACAGCGTATCTTTCCCATATGTGCTCCCATGTTTCTTCTTCCCAGCCACATGATCTGCATTTCCTTTCCTCTTTTTTTTCCCAGTATTTTGCTTCATTTACCTCGTTTCCCAATCTAAATTTAGCTACTCTTCTCCATCTTTCCTCCTTCCATCCTTTTTCCAGATATCTCGGTATTCCTGGCTCTATAATGATCTTATACCACCTGTTATACCTCGATTCCGTTATCTTTTCCCACCTCTCTTCCTCTTGCATCTGCTTGTCCCTTTCTTCAAGCTCCTCATAGCCCATCTCTCCACTCTTCCAGTTTCTCTAATTTCAGTCCCCTCTCTTCGAAGAACTTCCTCCTTTCTTCTTCCCATTTGCTCCCCTCGCCCCTCCTCATTTCATTTCCAATTACTTGGTCCCAGCAGCTCTTCGCCAGGTCTCCCCCTCGCCCTTCCCATAGCTTTCTTTCGTAATCCCATGCCCTCTTTCCGGTTCTCATTCTCATTTTCCATCTTTTCAGTTCTTCTCTTAGTAAATAACCTGGCGTCCGCCAGTCCACTCCTAGTGTCCACCTCAGGAATCTCTCGTGTACCCTCTCTATCTCCCTCCACTCCCTCCATCCCCATACTTCCGCTCCATATGCTATGATTGTCCATACTAGCTTGTCCCATAGCCAAATTCTTCTCTTCCAGTTTTTTCCGAATCTTCTTTTTCCTATCCCCCATACTTGTCTCATCGCAATTCCTGCCTTCTTGATTCTGTTTTTTACCTGTAGTTCGCTGCCTCCGTTCCTCCTGAATACATACCCCAGGTATTTAAACTGGTCTACCTCTCCTATTTTCTTTCCTTTCCACCACCACTCCACTTTCTTCCATCTTCCCGCCCCTTTTCTGAATCTCATTATTTTTTATTTATCCTGATTCAATTCCAGCCTCTTTTCATCCAGGTACCTCTCTAGTCTCCCCAGTAACACCCTCATATCCCCTTCCTCCTCCGCCAAAACTACCACGTCATCCGCGTAAGCCAGAGTGTATATTTTCCTTTCTCCGATCTTTATCCCTCCTCCGCCTCCCTTTTTCATCTTCTCCTCCATATCTGCCGTCAGCAGATTGTACGGCAATGGACTAAGTGGACACCCTTGTCTTACTCCTCTTGCAGTCCAGAATGGTTCTGTTATTCCTTCGCCTGTCCTTACCCTGCTTCTGGTCTCCCTCAAGATCTCTTTTATCCTTTTTCTTAACCCTTCCCTTACGCCCCTTTCTCTTAACGCCTCCATCAGGACTCCTCTACCCACTGAGTCAAATGGTGCCCTCAGGTCTATGAAAAACGCTATCACTTTCCCTTTTGCCCTCTTTATCTGTCCGTTTACCAGATAATTTAATACATATATATTGTCCGTTGTCCCCATCCTTCTTCTAAATCCCATTTGGTTTTCCGGCAACATTCTCTTTTCCTCCACTTCCTCTCTCAGCCTTTCAGTCAGGACCGCTGCATATATCTTGTATAGCGTGGGCATTAGTGTCACCCCCTGTAGTCAGATGCCTGTTTCCCATCTCCTTTTTTCTTTATGGGAGCGATTATCCCTTTCTTCCATCCTTCCGGCCATCCCTCACCTCTCCATACCCTGTTGCATATTTTCCATGCCCAGTCCATTACTTCTTCTCCACCGTATTTCCACACTTCATTGGGGATCTCATCTCCCCCTGTTGCTTTTCCGTCCTTTAGTTTCGCCACCGCTTTTCTTATTTCTTCTTTTCTTATATCCGCTTCCTCGTCCCTTTCTCGTTCTCTTTCTCCTCCCATTACTACCTTTTCCTCTGACCCGCCTAGTAGTAGGTTAACGAAGTGTTTTCTCCAATCCTCTTCTTTTATCCCCGTTTTTACTCTCCCTCCTCTTTTCCTCTCCCTATTTATTATCTTCCACACCTCGCCTTCTGTTCTTGCTTCTTCCACCTCCTTTTCAAAACTCTCGTTTACTTTTTCCTTTTTTGTTCCGCATAGTCTGTTGTATTCCTTTTTCGCTTCTCTATAGTTCACTACCCCGACCCTCCCTTTCCTCCACTCTCTTAACACCTTTCTCAGTTCTTTCTTTTTCTGCCTACATTCTTCGTCCCACCACCCTTTTTTCATGCGCGTTTCTGTTTCCTCCCTTCCTCTCTCAAGTCCCTTCCTGAACTCCCTTAGCATTGTCTCCATGTCCTCTTCTAGTTTTCCTTTTCTCATCTCCCTCCACACAATTTCCTTTTTAAACCTCTCTCTTCCCTTCTCCGACCAGTTTCCTCCCGCCGCTGGTCTTTTCTTCTCCCCTTCTTTTTCCTTCCCCACTCTCTCCCCTTCCAGCTTCAGTATCATTGGGTGGTGGTCTGAGTCGACTCTGTCCCCTATCTCCATTCTTTTGATTCTCTCCTTCCCCTCTCCCTCTGCTATTAAGTAATCTATCACTGTGCTTCCCCTTGCTCCCGTGTACGTGAACTCTACTTCTTCATCCCCCCTCATATTCCCATTCAATATTTCCCAACCTGTTCCTCTTAGTGCCTCTAGCATGACTCTCCCCTCCGCATTTTGCTTTTTGTCTTTTGATTTTCTTTCGCCCTCTTCCTCCTCCTCCCCCCTCGTCATCCCTCCTTCCCCTTCTTCCCCTGTTCTCGCATTGAAATCTCCTTCTATTATTGTTATTCTTTCTTCTTCTACGTCTTCCATTCTTGTCCTGAGTTCCTCCATTTTTTCCTCTATATCCGCGTTCACGTATACCCCTACTACTCTCCATTTCTCTTCCCCTCTCTTGAATTCTGCTGTCATTATTCCTGTCCTTTTCCCTTCCTTTATTATCCTTCCTTCTTTTCCCATCAGATGCTCCTTCACCCCTATCATTCCTCCCATTGCCCTTCCTTTTTTATTTTTCCTTTCTGCCAGCTGTGCTTCCCATCTATATCCTTTTGGCAGCCGCCCTTCTATCTTCTCCCATCCTTTCTTCTCAAGCCAGGTCTCCATTAAGACTACCACGTCCCACTGCATAATCGTATTCCAGAAGTCTTCATCTTTATTTCTGATTCCCGCGCAGTTCCAAAACCCTATTTCCCACCACTCCTTTTCTTCCTCTATTCTTTCATTCTTTTCTTTTTCTTTCTCTCTTTTCTCCTCTTCTACCCTCCCCCCCTCCTCTTCTTTCTCTTCTGCTTCTTTTCTTTTCCTATCCCTTTATCCCTCTGTCCCCCTCTTTCTCTCTTTTCTTCTTCTCCCACTTGTCCCACTCGCTCTCCCCTTTTATCCCTCACATTTCTTCCCCCACGTTGCTCGACCCCCTCTGCTTTTCATACCATTCTCTCCCCTGTCCGTCCTTCAGACATTCACTATCCTCCTCCCACCTCCACCATTTCCCTTCTATTCTGATTCTTTCATAATCCACCCATACATTCTTTCCTTTTTCTCTTTCCTCCTTTGCTATCCTTCTTAGCTTCCATTGTATCCTCCTTTCTTTCCATGTCAAGTCCTCTTCTATTCTCTCATCCCTGCCTTTCAGTGCTTTCTTTTTCATCATTACGCTTCTTTTCTGCTCTACTGTCTTCAATTTTATTTGAACCATGTTTACTTCTTTTCCCCCTTCCCCAAATCCTGCTGCTTTCACCTCCTCCACCGCGTCCTGTACCCCAATTGCTTTCATTATCTCCTCTGCCTTCTCTCTCATCTCCTCCCTTTTTATTCTCACCCCTTTAATTATTATGTTTTTTCTTTTTTCTTCTTTTTCCTTCCGTTCCCACCTACCCTCTAATTCTCTCAATTTTTCCATTATTGTATCTTCTTCTTTCCCTGCCCTCCTTTCCTCTTTTGTTCCCTGTTCCATTTTTTGAATTTTCTGCTCTAATTTATTCCATTTGTCGTTCTCTTTTTCCTCTCTTTCTAACTCTTCCACCTTTTTTCTGAACCCTTCCACTTTCTCTTCTAGCTCCCTCCTCTGCACCATTCACTTATCCTCTCTCTTTTTGATTTCTTCTTTTGGATTACCTATTTCCTTTTCTATTTCCTTTCCCACTCCCGCTATCCCTTCCCTCATTTCACTTCCCTGGTTCCTTGCGCTTTCTTCTATTTTCTTGCTCAGACCTTCTCCCAACTCTTTAATCATCCTCTTTATCTGTCCAATTCCACTTTCCTCTTCCACCCGTTCTTTCTTCTTCTCCGGCGATCTTCCTATCAAACTGCTCGCTCTGAACATCCATCCTTCTACTTGCGGGTCACGCTCTCCTCCTTCTTCTCTCCCCTCCTCCTCTTCCGCTTCCGTTTCTCTCTTCCTTTTCCAAATTTCTTCTATGCTCGTCATGTTTCCCATGCTTATGCTCCTTTCTTTTTTCAGTGCGGCCATGTTGGTCGGTCTGCCTCTTTTCCCGCCTTTATCAGCTTTTCCTGGGTCATCCTTCCCTTCCGCGGTTTTTCTCTTTTCTTTTGATTCTTCTGTTCTGTCCGCCATACTTCCCCCTACCCCTTTCGTCTATCTCTTCCTTACCTACCGGGGCTTCTTCTGTGTTACCTTTTTCCCACCTGTCCCCCAGGTGTCTCTCTCCGTTCCCTCTTTCCTCCCTTCGTGCTCTTTCCCGGCCTTCTCTCCTCCTAACCTCACTTCCACTGATTCTGCTTATCACCGATTTTCTTCTTACTTCACTTTCTTTAGTATTGCCCTGATCTGTCACTCTTTTCCTCTCCTTTGTACTCCCATTTTCTGTTGACCCTAAACCTTTTCTTTCTCACATTTACTGACTTTTTCACTCTCTAATCACTCCAGCTATCACGACACACGTTCTCTCACAACCACATGCTCCGGGCGTCCATAATGATATTGTTATTAAATGTATATTACATATCTAATGTAGATATAGTAATAATGACATTGTTATTAAATGTATAATACGTTATATCTAATGTAGATATAGTAAGAATGATACTGTTGTCGAATGTATATTAAATATCTAATGTAGATGTAGTTATAACGATATTGCTGTTAAATGTATATGACATATCTGATGTTTAGATGTAATGTTGTATACATTTAATAACAATATCTTTATTACTACATCTACATTAGATATAGTGTAATATACATTTAATGACAATGTCGTTATTGCTATATCTACATTAGATATGTAAGATACATTTAAAAACAATATCATTATTACCAATTCAGCATCACATTTGTAATATACTGATTCTTTCCCACAGCACAATATACATTTAATAACAATATCACTATTACTATATCTACATTAGATAAGTAATATACATTTAGTAACAATATCATTATTGCTATACCTACATTACATATAATGTAATCTACATTTAATAACAATATCATTATTGCTATATATACATTAAATATAATGTAATGTACATTTAATAACAATATAATTGTTACTGTATCTACATCAGATATATAATATACATTTAATAACAATATCATTATTACTATATCTACATTAGATGTAATGTAATGTTACGCCGCGGCGGAAAATTTGAGATTTATCCGCCTTCGTTCCTTATCAAGCCCTTTCGAGGGTTACGAGAGTATCTCATGCGAGGTACACAAGGAAAGGTTTTTCCTATTTCCTTCTTTACAATAGTTTACGTGACCCTCCTTGAAACTATCGTTGCCAACCATAGTAACATAATACAGTTGTAATAGCACACAAAAACTCGGGTTTAGCTTAAAAGAGAGAGAGAGAGAGCTCGTAGCACAACACCAGCGCTACGCAGTTCTTCGTACACAGCCAGTGCTTCGCACTTCGGGAATTCCCCCGCTAACTGCGTAGAAACGGGAAAACAGTAATAACTTCTTTGTTAGAACACTCTTTCTCTCTCTTTTGCACAAAGCGTCAGCCGGTCCAATAAGGATCATTATTACCTGATCGGAATGACAGCGTGAAAGAGTGGACGAATGAATATGTATTTAAACAACGAAAGTAAGGAATGAGAACCCTTATGAAAGCGAACGTCGCGAACGTTCGACCGCCGTTCGAAAATCAAGGGTAGTTGGAGGTAATAAACACTATTGTATTGAAAATTCTAAGAACTGCCTGGCGACAACGGCAAATTTGAACAAAGGAACGTTCTCGAAGGAATGTTCGCTAGATCGAAAATTGTTTAAATTCATTAGAAAGCGAATGCCGAATTCATCGAAACAAATATGCAAATAGATTGTGTAATAAATGTATAATTTGCCACGGCATCGTAATTACCATAAGCGCATTGTCCGCTATTAAACTATTATAATTGACAATCTTCGTTGCAAACCGAAATGAATAATTTTGATCTTTGTTAAAGTAAAATCATATGGATGACGGCTTCATTCTTAGAAGTTTACATATTTCATCCTATACTTCATTTTGCAATTCGATCTAATCAATAGTTGCGATTTTATCAAAATTCAATAATTGTACATTCAAATAGAAATACTGCGTAGTTTCTAAAACCGTTGAAACAATCATGGCGACGGAATAGAAAAGAGAAGGAACATCAAAGAAAGGGGATGAAAGATCTTCGTCTAGTTCGCGCGTCTTAGTCAATCACCGGGCACGCGACACTACCGAAAACGTACTACGATTCGTCAAACCGTCCCCTCCATGGGCGATGATCGCGCAACGGGCCCTTCGACCATCGATCTCGCGCAAAATTCCTCACTCTTGATCGATCAATCGTAAGTACGAGGTCGGGAACCCGTGTGTCCGAGAGACAGAGTTGTTAGGAATTTCGTGATAGTTTTCTTCTGCGGTAAAGACCTCCACGTAGCGAGACAGAGTGCCGTGCGAGTTGAAATCATCCGATTCTTAGCAAGGACTCATTGACGCGCACGTAAAACCTTCCTTCTACCTAATTTTCTATCTTTTCTTTCCGTTTTTAAATCGTTGCTCGCGTAATTTCTCGTGTTAAATTCAATTCGCGTAATAATTATTTATACATTGCTTAATTTTGTAATTCGTTTGTGTCTGTCTCTCGTCGACGTCTTCGTCCGTTAATTCATTTCGCCGCGATAAGTGCAATGATCGAAAATCTTATTGTTCTTTGGTGTTCCAGATCATCAAGCGAACACACACAGAATACTAGCAAGCGAAAATTATAAATCTTGTATCGTATTAAATAGCGTATCGGTAAGTCGATTCCATTACATTTTTCGAACACGATGTTTATCAACTAGCAACACGGGCGATCTGGTCCAGCCCTTCTGGGATTACGAGAGTATCTCAGGTCAGATCGTTCCAACAAACGAGGTATCGACCGATTATATTCATTTTTGGGGTGTTACGATTTCGCTCTCCCATTTCTTGTGTTACTTCAAAAGGGGCACCTTAGTCCAGCCCTTCCGGGGGTTACGAGAGTACCTCAGGCTGGGGTGCACCCTCACAGGCGAGAACCGCCGACTTCACGATAAATCTAATTTTGGTTAAAAGGAAAGCAAAATAGTAATGCCGTTCGTACGACCGGTAATAAAATATTCGAACTCGTTTTAACTGTGATCTCAGGGAGATTTAATATACCGATATAATATATTTTGTTAACTAATAGTTAACTTTATATAGTTACTTTACCCTTGTTAAGAATTTGCATGAACTGGTGTTTTCAAAATTAACGTATTTTCAAACAAAATTCTGGTCTCATATTTTGGCATTTTTCTATTTTGTTATCTATTCGAATTTCTTCCGACATTAAACCAGTTTCATTTTCTAAAACAATTTCGAAGTTCATCTCAAACACATACCTACACTTTTCAGTTAAAATCACGCCTACCAACGCAGACAGATTCAAGGAGGGACCCGTATGGGACCCAGAGCGCTGAACGAACCTAATGAAAGCCGAATAATCTAAATTTTTCAATCTAACATCTAATTAATTTCCGTCTTTCGTCTTTTAATTTGTCGAGAGCATTAACCCGCTCGAGACTGGTGGCAGCGAATACCAACCATCGCGCCAGAATAAGGGGAGAACGAAATAGGGGATTGTATTCCAACTATTTATTTGAAATTCATTCCTCTTATCTAGTAACATTCTATATTCTTTCATATCCTTTTTGCATTGCGCCGTTGCACGCGCAACGTAACAGTAATATACATTTAATAACAATATCATTATTACTATCTCTACTTTAGATATGTATTACACATTTAATACCAATATCATTATTACCACATCTACGTTAGATATGTAATATACATTTAATAACAATGTCATTATTACTATATATGTAAGCTTTGTGTACGTGGCGGTGAGTCATATATGCTCGAGAGAGGTCGGCACCTGACAGCTGAGAAGAGAAAACAAATAGATAGAGCGACAGTTGAACTCATAAATAAAGTAGATTGATAATTAGTGAGTAAACCAATAAATAAAAAAACCTTAAAATCCTAAACCCTACAAGTACAAGGTTCTAGAAGAACCTTAGGGTGAGATATAATAATATAGAGAAGCACAAACATTTAATTGTTGATATCTATAGTTTTAGGTTAGTACAACTCGTGGGAAGTACGCAATAATTATTCACTATGTAATCAATAAAAGAAAACACTATATTTTTAGACGAATCAACCTGGTGTTTCTGCTTTAAGAAGGAACTCTTTAATCATATTATATATATACATTAGATATAATATAATATACATTTCATAACAATATCATTATTAGTATATCTAGATTTTTTTTTTTTTTTATTATGGTGAAGGGAAACTGCAGAAAAATCTTCCGGTCTTCAAGATCCCCGGAGCGGACCACGTGCCCCGGGGTATGCGGAATTCCTATCCACTAAAAAACCGCAAACCCTTTATGCGACTTTAGTCCCCCCCGGAACTGTTTATCTCATTACTTCGGGGGGGGGAGTCGCCTGTTGCACGTGTTGCCGCGCGCTGCTCTTCGAATGCCCTCACAACAGAAGGTGGCCCATGAGGAGCTGCTTCAACTTGTCGGTGGCATCCCCTACACTGGATTTAGGGGATTCCACCGACTCTCCTTCTTCTTCTGCTGAAACAGCACATAATTGGCGACGGCGCTCCAAGTCTGCAATGTCTGCAGCATCACCCTCACGATGTTGTCGGGGATAATGGGGCCAACCTACTGTTGGAGGGCATTCCTCTCGGCCGCCCAGCGTCCGCATTGGAAGAGGGTGTGCTGGGCACTGTCCCCTGCATCCTGGCAGTCATAACCGCACACTGGCGAGGTGGCCTTACCCATCCTGAACAGATACGCACGGAAGTACTCGTGCCCGCTCAGGAATTGGGTAAGGTAGTAGTCCACCTCGCCGTGCTTCCTATTTAGCCAGGGGGCGAGGCTTGGAATTAGCCTAACCGTCCAGCGCCCCCGTGCCTCTTCCATCTAACGCTGCTGCCAGCAATGCAGGGTGGCCTCTCAAGTCACCCTCTTCGCGTCGACCCTGTCCTGGCCGCTCCTCTTCGCCTCATAAACCTGCTTGCGCTCGACGGCAAGAAGGTCTATGGGCAACATTCCAGCTATCACCAACACAGCTGGCTCCGCGACAGTTCTGTAGGAACAGGCTACCCGGAGCGCGCACCTCCTTTGAACCGCAGCTAGTCTGCGGCGGTACTTTTCGAAGCGGAGAACTCCAGCCCAGATCTCCGCGCCGTACAGCAGGACGGACTCTACGGAGGTCATGAGCAGCCCCCGCTTCGCCGGCCTTAGGCCTCCGATGTTCGCCATGAGGGGGGCGATGAACGACGCGGTTGCTGCCGCCCTGTCGGCCGCCTGCCATATCTGTGCCCAGAAGGTCCGCTTGCTGTCAAACAGGACCCCTAGGTACCTAACGGCGACCTTGGCGATGATGGTGTGGATCCCCATCTTGAAAGGTATCTCTGTGGGGATCCTTCGCCTTAACAGGACGACGAGCTCGCGGCGCTTAGCCCTGTAGGATTCCCCCAGGGCCTCTCCGTCGCAGACAGTATATCTAGATTAAATATAATGTAATATACTGTGGGATGGTAAATAAATAGAGAATGACATCCACACTCTCACACTTATCGGCGGAAGTATTTATTTTTAAATCATCAGATTTCAAAGTACAAGAAATATCTGGAGACGACCGTGACTTTCGTCCTGCACAATCGAGACCCAAGTGAAGTCTTCGCACAAACCGGAGTTGTATATATATCCAGTCAAAATGACAAGGACAGCTAGCACGCCACTACGACGGCGCGAAAACTACGCGGGAAAACTTTCCACCGATGTGGCCAACGTCCGCGCTCATTGTTCGCCAGGAAAAACCCAGGCCTGTGCAAGTGGTCACGAAATGTTTGACCCGACCTTAACCAGGCTCGTCCGAGCCTCTCCTTCAAAAAAGCAATAAATTCCTGCAAGGGCATGGTAACGACGAAGTCGCTGCAATACATTTAATAACAATATCATTATAACTGTATCTACATTAGATATAATGTAATATACATTTAATAACAATATCATTATTACTATATCTACATTAGATCTAATGTAATATACATTTAATAACAATATGAATGAATGGTTTATTGCTCCCCTAGATTTGGGCTTGCATGGCGCTTTTTTTTCCACAAGGAGCGTTTCCCCAACCTTGCTTGCAGTCATTTGTTCCTTACATGTCTTCTATTACTAAAAACCGCCACTCTCTCAAGATACTGCGCACGGACATTTGCCAGGTTCCCACAAATAACCCCGAGAAAACAAAAGTAAAACTTAACCATTAAATCATCGCTCAGAAAATACAGCATAAAAATAAATTATAAGTAGAAAGCACCTAAGTGTGAAAACTAAACAATATTCAACCGCCGTATTTTAAAACGTAACGCTAAAGTTAAATGAAAATTAAATGAAAATGAAACTAAGTCTAACACTAGAAATATGAAGAACTCACATCAAATAACTGCTCGAGATCAAAAAATAGAAATACAAGTAAAATGAAACAAAAATATACTAAAAATAAAAGAAGAAACAAAATAAAATATAAGTAGTATTCTATCTGTCCTATAATCGCAAAATAAACTAAACTTGACTCTTACTATCGTGTAGAACAAAAACAATTTTTAACAAAAAACAAATCCGACTTCGAAATGCACTAAAAAGTGTCAAATAATTTCTATTTCATTTATACCAATATTCCATAGCTATTAATAATATCTACTTAATCGTTAAATAGGATACCAAATACATTTCAAAGTTTTCGGAGGCGGCGCAAAATTAAAAACTTTTCCTCTAATAAGAAGATCCTAACTCGGACGTCGGCAACCTATGATAAATCACCCATTTGATAATTTCAAGTAAATAATATTCAACGAGAATCAATAAACCCATTGCGAATTAACTATACTGCAGTTCACGAGTGATCGCACTTAACTCGCGCAGCTAGTGACCTACTGAGGTCTAGGGAGATTTTTAATAGTGCGTGTGATTCCCCTTTACAGCTTGCTTCTTACTTTGCGTTCACATCATTTTTTTTTTGCGACAAATAATAGGAATTTCATTGTATCGTGAAACTTTACAATATCATCACCGGTTATCAATTATCGTACGTCATATATTTCTGCCCGCCATTTATATGATCGCAAATTATAAGAAGCAAGTTGTAGAGGAGAATAACACAAGTTATTAAAAATCTCTCTAGACCTAGTGAGCGGCGCGAGTTAAGTATGGTCTCTTGTGAACTGCAGTATAGTGCATGTACAGGGTGTAAAAAAATTAAATGTCACGACCTATATGGGGTGATTCTACACCTCTGGATCGGTGGAGATCTGTCAAAGAAAGCGACCGCAAAATTGACCTTGATCCCTAATTTCAAGGTCAAACTTTTTTATTGGCTTATCGTATAGTGCTCATCGAGGGGATAAAAAGTCTGAAAGGAACCATGTACCGGAAATCAACCCTTCTCCTAGAAAAAAGACGTCAAAGTTTCCATATACCATAATGCATTAAACGTTGAGTCGCCCGGTACCCCTCTCCAGTGATCTTGGCGCGTCAGTCTCGCGTATCGCTCCAGTTTCATGGTATAGGACAATTCTTGAATTTCAATCACAATGCCAGCATATAGGAAGGGTAAATTCTAAGAGAGCATATTTAAAAAGACAAAATAACTACTGCGTTTAAATGAAAATAAAAATGAATTTAATCGAAACATTCGTAATATAATATAATATGATACAAGTATAATAAGTAATATAATATATAAATAACAATAATAATAAAAATATAATATAAAGTAATTATATAAAAAAATAATATATGTAACATAAGATAATAATATTAAGGTAATAATAATAATAAGTAATATAATAATAAATATAATAAGATAATAAATATTTGATGCAGTCCTTTGCGTAATAATTAACTGATGCATTAACTGCATAACTGCGATGTGTTAACGAACTGTGAAATGATAAAACTAAACATTTATCTTGCGTTTATATTCAAAGTGCAAAATTTCAGTGAATTAAATTCATTATTATTTTCTTTTACACGTAGTAGTTATTTTATCTTTTTAAATAGGCTCTCGTAGAATTTACCCTTCCTATATGCTGGCATTGTGACTGAAATTCAAGAATTGTCCTATACCGTGAATCTCGAGCGATACGCGAGACTGCCGCGCCAAGATCACTGGAGAGGGGTACTGGGCGACTCAACGTTTAATGCATTATGGTATATGGAAACTTTGACGGCTTTTTTCCAGGAGAAGGGTTGATTTCCGGCACATGGTTCCTTTCAGACTTTTTATCCCCTTGATGAGCACTATACGATAAGCCAATAAAAAAGTTTGACCTTGAAATTAGGGGTCAAGGTCAATTTTGCGGTCGCTTTCTTTGACAGATCTCCACCGATCCAGAGGTGTAGAATCATCCCATATAGGTCGTGACATTTAATTTTTTTACACCCTGTACATCAGGAGTGCTGCTAATTTCTCATACAATCGTTACAATTACAAATGTTTTCAGCCGGAACTATAATTTTGCTCTTACGACTTATTAATTACCAAGTTTGCCATACTGCAATCAAATCGTTATTGGCAGCATCGTTTGTTCGGGTATTTCTAATTTTGCGCCGCCTCCGAAAACTTTGAAATGTATTTGGTATCCTATTTAACGATTAAGTAGATATTATTAATAGCTATGGAATATTGGTATAAATGAAATAGAAATTATTTGACACTTTTTAGTGCATTTCGAAGTCGGATTTGTTTTTTGTTAAAAATGATTTTATTTCAAACTTTTTAGTGGAACCTGTAGTATTTTTAGGATAGTGTAAGGTGATTTTGGGTTTCTGTTACTTAGCTAATAACCATAAACCTAAAAAATATTAACCAAAAAAAATATTCATAAATTTTTGCAAGTGGGGTCATCGCAGATATACAGAGTGTCACGCGACTACCTCTACAGCCGAAGAGGGATGATTGCTAAGGTGATTCTAAACAACTTTTTCCTTCTCCAAAATGTTGGTTAAGGCTTGTTTTTCTAGTTATCAACAAAAACACCGACGAATCCGAGCGCGTACAGCGCGCGGGCTTAGGGACTGCAATGTCGGCTATGAAAACCGGGCCTGACGTAGGTCGCAAACGAACGGCTCGGCACCCCGTTGGCATAGCACAATAAAAAAATTGGACGGGGAGAACATTTTAGTCGTTGTTTAAAATGAATACGGAACCTAATCTCTTGTCGCCTATCATAATGTAAAAAAGGAAATTCTAAGGATTCTAAACAACAAATGAAAATGATTGAAATGGAATAATTAATAAACGTTTGAATTGGAAGCCACGTTAATGATGAAAAATTTGAAAACAATATAAATGAAACTTTCGCATTCGTTCGTAAATTAACCTACTACGATGAAAGCAGATAATTGTCACTGGGAATCGAGGAAACACGTTCAGTAGAACAGTAATTTTCATGATCGGGCCAGTGAACTCCCCTCATTTATTGCACTTAGGCGTGAATGATAGGCGAGGTGTTTGCTCATCGAATGTCCAGAATCGACACAGTGATCTAGTGGGAATTATTTGGTTTCAGCGTAGCAAGTTAATTTAGAAACGAATGGGTAAGTTTCATTTAAATTGTTTTCAAATTTTGCATCATTAGTGTAGCCTTTAATTCAAACGTTTATTAATTATACCACTTCAAACATTTTTATTTGTTGTTTAAAATCCTTAGAATTTCCATTTTTACATTAAGACAGGCAATAAGAGATTAGGTTCCATATTCATTCTAAACAGCGACTAAAAATGTTCTACCAGTTCAATTTTTTTATTGTGCTATGCCAACGGGGTGCCAAGCCGTTCGTTCGCGACCAACGTCAAGCCCGGTTTTCGTACCCGACACTGCAGTCCCTGGGACTGCGCTCTATCCGCGCTCGGATTGGTCGGTGTTTTTTGTTATTAACTCGCAAACCAAGCCTTAACCAACAATTTGGCAAAGGAAAAAGTTGTTTAGAATCCCCTTAGCAATCATCCCTCTACGGCTGTCGAGGTAGTCGCCTGACACCCTGTAATTCCTACCAAATATGAAAGGTTTCATCGCGAACGATACATTCCTTGCAGAGTAACATTAAGGCGTAGATTTTTCGCTATAATAGTAGTTATTAACAAATTCAATAAATTTTTGCAATTGAGATCATCGCGGATATACCTTCTACTAAATGTGAAAGTTTTCATCACAATCGATACATTCGCTGCAGCATAAACGCCAGAAGGCATAAATGAAGCATTACGTTTTTTGCAAAAAAATCGTTAACAATGAAAAAATGCAAAATGTTTTTTTAACGGGACCAATCGGGAGACATACTCTACAAGATGCAAAATGTTTCGTTCCGATTGGTCCATCCATCTTGGA